CAAAAATTCACCAGTTAGGTCAAACTTGAGGGACCCAATTCTGGCTTGTTCCTGCAATTTACCACTATTTAATCAGTTGCATCACTTTGAGAAAATTGTTGGTTGATTTTCTTCCTTTATTTTTTCCATTAAAGATTTTTTCCCCAACTCTAGTTTTTCTTTATTATGTTGGAAAATAAACTGCCTTTTCCACTGACATCCTACACCCCTCAGGGTTTATGGCTATATTCATCTGGTACTTCATTCTGTGTCTTTACAAGATTGTGGCTCATCAGCAGTTAGTTGTGGAACTCCTTTCAAGTTTCATAACTATTGTACCAGCAGCAGTGCCTTTGGCATTCTGGGTTGCCTTTTGGGTGCTTCAGCACCTAGGCTGGCAGGCCAGTCTAATTCTAGCTTGCTGTTTGCCTGACACAGTCAGTACATCAGTCAATGAATGTGTTTTGTTAAGTAGATTGGGTAAAAATCTTTAATGAATCAAAGTACAATACCTTATAGCAAGCTCATCAGTGGATCTTAAATTGTCAAGATGATTTGATTGGGTAAAATTTATAGTTAAGTTATATAACTAATTAAGTAAAATTCATGGTAAAGTTTGTATTAACTAGATATAAGTTTTAGGTGAGCAATTTGGTAAATTAGCTGATATATTTACTAATTATAACCCACTCACCCAAATAGATTAAACTTATCATACTTGATTAGATTAGTTTCAGGAGAGTGATTTGGTGAAGTATTTGATATATTTGCCAATTCTCACCCACTCATCTAAATTAGATTTAACCTATCAGACTCAAAGGTTTCAGATATCAGTCAGTAAATGTGGTTTATTAAGTAGATTATATATAATATATATTACTTATATTTACACACTTTGTATGATTGAAAATATGATTGTATATAAGTGTGCACACCTTGCTTTTCTTGCAGTCATATACAAAAAAATAAAGTAATTATTTGGCAAAGAACTTATTTTTTTACTTTTTAGTATGACTTTTTTAGTTAATTTATGTTTTTTTACCTTATATTTTTTACCATTTTTATTATTTTTAATTTTATTTGAGGTAGGCCAACCTGGGGACAATAATACCACACTGATGAAGGGGATTCAAATTAATGGGAAAGGAGGATAAAACCTGAAAACCTTCACATATGACATATGATAGGTCAGGGACTCCATGGACTGCCTTGCTATTTGCTATCTCAGTTTAGGCATTGTGTGCAATACCAGCACAGTCAATTGTCCTCTCCTAAAGTTCATCTACTGGGATTGAACTCAGGGAGGCAGTGGTAATTAGTCCATATTCTACCACTGGGGTACCCCTTAACTTTTTATTATTTTCTCTCTTTAAAAACAAGTATCCAAAAGACTAAACCTAGTAGTTGTGGAACTACTGTTAGACATGGAATCATGAGCAGACTTGTGCTTTGGGAAGGAATAAAGGGTTGGTTAAATAAACAGATACATAAGTTTCAATGTATTTTATTTATTCAGAATTTTCAGAATTTACAGAATTTACAGAGTCACCTAATGTAGTTGATGGAATATGGAATAATGGTAGCTGAAGTATGATATGAATATCTGGGTGAAGAGTTGCATGTTGCAACTGAATGTGTTTCTTAGTGTAGTTGATGGTAAGCCATGGAGTTGTAGGCCATACTTATCATTGATGTCCTGTAGTAGGTTCTCGTGATTGGGTGCATGCTTGTTGAAGTTGCCACAGAGCATTATTGGTGTAGTCATGTCAGTGTTCATTTTAGAGATCACTTTACTGATGGACTTGCCATATCTGTCAAGCCCATGATGTATAAGATACAACACTTTGGTGTCGGTGATCCAGGGTGTATGTAGACTCCAACTAGAATGAATTTGTACATGTTCTGGTAAGTGATATCCACGGCTGTGATGTCGCCAGTGATGTCTCATATCTTGTCAGGAGGTTGGATAGTTAGAGGGTTACAAGTGCTTATGCTCTCAATGCTGCGGTAGATGGCCACGCTGGAGGCCTTTTATTTCGTTTTCTTAGAGTGGCAAGGCATGGCAATGTTCTCTTGAGCTACCAAGAGGAAATTGTTTAACTGTACCAGGCGATTCTTGCCCATCCAATTTCAGAAGCTACAAAGTAATCGCAGTTAGGCAGTAGCGAATCACTTTCAATGTTGAGATGATGAGCCACAATACTATGAACATTTAAATTTGTAACTAAGAGCCGTGCAGCTATCTTGGCCTCCGTGATGAACTGGCACACGCTATCGGACACAGTGGGCAACAGATGATTCTCCAATCGCTTGTACTCATTGCATATGTCACACATGGTGGGGGAGTTACATCTGGACCCGTGATAAAACTTGACCTCATCGGCTATTATTTACAAACCTTCTAGTGATTGGCATCTACTCATAGCCACGTACAGTAACTGTTGAGACATTTTCTTTGTGTACTCCATCGCCACGCTGTTGAATGTAGCGCCTTGCGATTTGTGAATAGTTATCATACAGGATGGCATGCAAGGGAAATTTATTCTGCGGCATCTAATGTGACCATCTAGGTTGATCGTTCCACTGCGCTTCTCGATTGGTGGATATTGGAAGCTGTATGATTTGCACAGCGGCAGTACGTTGCCTTGTTTGAGACTTGCAACACACGTAGAGCACACGCCTTCCATATTACTTGCACTTAAGTACTCATCTGCTCCAAACACTGTGGCCAAGAGACTTATGTATGATGGTATGCACAGTCTTAGATCACTTGAACCACAAGCGATCGCAGATCCCACACACCAAGCTGAACGGATTGTTAATAAAGTGCTTAGAGAATTCCTCGTCGACTCCTTTGAAGTGGCGACTTGGACCGGCTGTTCTGCGCAGAGCATTGAGGGTCCAATGTTGTCGAAGCACAAGTTATTAATGTTCTCATCGTCTGTTTTCTTGCTAGCTGGCCGTACACTCGATCTGAGTCGCTTTGGGGGCACACTGGATAACCCAGGTATCAGAGATGCAGGCCGCTTGGGCGCTGACGGGGTTTTGTCAATCTTCAAATGGTTGCCATTGTCTAAGTTCTCAGCCAATTTCTTTGATTTTAATCTCAAACGATAGGCCTGTTGACGCTCTGCATAGGATTTGCTGGTTTTCAGTTTGAAATTTTTGATTTGAGTTTTATCGTGATTTTTAGGTCAAGGCATTTCAAATTTTTGAGTTCAAATGTTGTTATTTTTTTCTGTGAGTGCTTCTGGTACTCGGAATTGGTGTCATTGGAGAGATTTAGTTCTGAGGATCACAACGCACTTTGTATTTTCACGATCGGACTTGTAGCTCACGAGATATTTAAGTTTTAGTGGAGCACTTTAGAAATTTTTGGTGCAAAAACACCCTCACGCAGACAAAGCCTAGAGGTGACTGAAGTCAGTTGTCAAAATTCTTAGTACTATTGGTGGAAGGGGGCCAAGTGACACGATCACCTGACACCTGGTTTGCTGGGATTGGTTGAGCGGTTCGTGAGATAGTGGTATGCCGAAAGTACATTTGAAACATAACAGTTGATTTTTCGCGAAACGTTCGGGTAAGACATCACATACCTATGGATTCCATGTCAAATATTTTTTATTTTTATTCGAGGTGGGCCGACCTGGGGACGATACCGCACCGATTAAGGGAAATCGAATAAATGGGAAAGGAGGATAAAATCCGGAAAACTCCATGCGCGGCGTATGATAGGCCAGGAACCCCATGGACCGCCTTTGCTATTCGCTATCTCGGTTCTGGGCATTGGTGCGCAAAGCCAACACAGTCATAATCGTCCCCTACCCAAAGTTCCAGTACCGGAATCGAACTCGGGGAGGCAGCGGTAGAGGTCCCTACTCTACCACTTGGGTATCCTCCCCTTCCATGTCAAAATTATTTTTTTTTTAGTACTAGATGGTCCCAACCCAAGGGGGACCATGTCAAAATTATTTTTTATTTTATTTTCTCTTTTTTAGTCATACTTTAATTAAATTACCATTATATATTGTATAAGTTAAATTAGTAGTTAATTTAGATTTTCAAAGATAAAATTAGATATTGAAATTTCACATATGGTTATAAATTATTAACCAAATTTTTATTTAAAGTTCTACTGTACAGAGCAATCAAATAGTGAAGTTTTTGATTATTGAAATACAATTGTAAAAGGGTGGTTAGCCTGGCAGGTAAAACTGCTTCCACCCTAGTGCAGGTTTCGAGTTCGAAACCTGTACAGGCTAGAAATAGAAAAATTCTCGGTGTGGTATATTTGTCCCAAGGTCGACCCACCTCGAATATAAAAGAAATACGATTGTAAATTAATAAAACCTTTTCTAAGTTGCTTATATACATTTTTAGGCTTCAGTTGTTGATAAAATAATTTGATTTTAGCCGATTGGTGGGGTGTTTTTGGTTGATTCGATAGGCTCATTTGGGGTCTGGCCGAATGTTTGGTGGTATATTACTTGGTTTGATTATTTTTTCGATTCAGGATTGATTCGATAAATTCAATTACTTCTTAAACTTATGAGCGGCCATCTACCATTATAAAAGCTAATAAGAAACCTATGCAATGCTTGGAAAAATCGGTATTGAACTTTTAAATCAACTAACAACCAAAAACCACCAACTTACCAAAACCAATTAACATCGAATCAACCAATCACTAACCGCTTACTAAAATATCAAGCTTATTAATCAACCTAAACCCACCAACCGCTTGGCAAAACCATTAAAACTATCGAATCAACCGAATATCAACTGCAGAGCCATAATGATATACTGACTAACATCGAAAAATTATAGGTTTTTCATTTAATACATATAAACTTTTTATTTTGAATATGAGAATTAAACTTTTCGATGCATTATGGTATTGTCATCGGAGATAAATAAGTGTGCCAAATTTAAAAATATCTAGCTAGTCTAAAAGGTAGGTAAAAATTAATCAAGATTTGAATATTCCCTACCCACCGTGAATTAACGAAAAGCAATTACAATGCTCACTACAGGGGTCGAACCTGTGACTGGCGTTATTAGCACCACACTCTAACCAACTGAGCTATTTTTTTTAGTCTCCATACTTTATTAAAATAAATTTAAGGGAAAGTAAGAGGGGAGGGCGGAAACCAACTGAGCTGAGAGCTATTTTTCCTTTACTTTTTATCTTCATATCTTATAATAGCAAATTTTTTTCTAGTGATTAAGCGTCAAAATTATTGTAATCTTTTCTATACTAATACTAATGAAAAGCAGTCAATTAGATACAAAGTCAGCCCGCTTAATGCGAATCTTCAAGGAACGTATCACTTGCAATAATCTGGGTATGATTAAAGGCAGATATCATGGATAAAAATTTTATAAAGACATAATTGATTAAATCTGATAAGTAAGCTTTATTAAAAAAATATTCGAGGTGGGTCAACCTTGAGACAAATATACCACACCGAGAACTTTTCTAGACAGTACAGGTTTTGAACTCAACCTGCACTAGGGTGGAAGCAGTTTTATCTGCCAGGCTAACCACCCTTTAAAAAGTATTCGAGGTGAGTTGACATTGGGATAAATATACCACACCGAGAATTTTTCTAGCCAGTACAGGTTTCGAACTTGTATTGATCAAAACCCACACTAGGATGGAAGCAGGAATTACTCTGCCAGGCTAGCCCCTTTCAGCGTTAACTACTAGCATTCAGATACCTGTGCTTCTCTACGATATTTATAGCTTACCAGATGATTCAAATTAATATTTTAGATTTTATTATATTATTTATATATTGGTAGATAGCCAATGATAAGTTTAGGATTAATCAAACCTATCAAATTGGCCAAAAACTACTAACCAGTTGCCCAAAACCAATTGAACCTATTGAATCAACCTAAATCCACTAAACGGTGTCATAGCTTGAGAATCCTAGGTTGATCATGACCTATAGTTCAGGTGACATCTTTGGTTTCAGTATGGTTAGTTATTTCAGTGGTCAGGTGTTGGTGAGTGCAAGAGAGCATTCCACTGAAGTATCCAAATTAGCATATTGGGGATAAAGCTTGATAATAAAAACATGAAAAATATGATGGGGAAGTTTTTTGTACATATTGAGTATGAGAGCAGGCTTATATACCCAATCATCAAAAATTGCAAAGGAAAAATGTTTTGAAGGGTTTCAAAGGGAAAGCAGATGAAAATGAATAAATAATGCCATGGATAAGGCAAGGGAGGGGATATTTACTGATGAACTATTGATCACAGTGGTAACATGTCACTTCTCTTATTCATTTTCATGCTGATCTTCCTGAAATTAAGATTGGGGGTCTCATGCAATTAAGACCATGTTGTCCATTATGAAATTGAGGTCATGTAGGGTTCCTTGCTGTTGCTTGAGTTAGTTCAGCAGAAGCTATATGTTGAAAGAGCTGAATAAATTTGGGTGGAGGGTAACTCCAAATAAAAATTGGTAGAGAGGGTGTCATGGATGATCCTAAAAATGGATGGGTGCAACATGTGGCAATTGTGGCATATGAATCTTCAGTTATTTTGAGTTGTTATTATCCAGGAGAGAAATCTGTAGTAGAGGGTACTTTGACTCCCCCTAGGGCTCTAAAAGCATCAGCAATTGAAGGCAACTGGTTCTCATTTAATAAAGTGTTATATCATTAACTTATTCAAGCATGTTATTGTAATCTTGGGCTAATCAGGGTAATTCCTCATTATTGGAATCAAGTGAATGCTTGGTACTTCAGGCTTGCTGAAAACTCAAGTGCAGAGATAGGAAAAAGTTGAACAGAGGATTTCTCTAAAGTTGAGGGAGCATGGGTATATCATATAGGCAGTGTTTTCATCCCATGGTCAGTTTAATGTACCACTAGTCACTTTCACAGTTGCCAACGATTCTATATTCTTTAAGATCTTAGTGGGATAGTTTATCAGAAAATAATTGTGGTCAAAGACAATGACAACAAGTAACTTTACTTTTTCAGAGATCTTAAAAGGCAAATTGAACACTTGGCTGCAACAGGGCTGTTGGGGCCACTGGCCATCAGAAAGATAAGGTCACTTTGGAGGATATCTTCACAGCTGATATTGAGCAGGAGTTTTTAGTGACAATATTGGCAGATGATCCTAAATCTAAAACAATTAGAAAGGCATATCCATAAAGATATCTACAAGTGTGGGGCGCTCATTGGTTGATAAACAGGGTTTTGGGCTTCAAATGAACTTTTTATAGTTGCATAATGTTGATACTTTGGTGCAAATTTTGATGCAAGGCAGTACTTGACTCATACATCACCAAGAGATACTAAGATAATAGTATTCTTCAAATTTTAGCAGCAGAAATTCCCCCAGGTTGATAAAGAGCAACTGGTCAAACTGGAGTCAATTTTAAAGGCAACATAAGGGGGTGATGGGCAGGTAATTTTAAGAATTGGTTGGCTGGGTTGGGTCAATATGATAGGGCATGTGAGGCTTGTTTTTGGAAAATATGGGTTTGGGATTGTGGGTTTTCATTTCCTTTCAATTCATTTTGATGTCTGAGGAAAAAAGTTGGGTAGAGGTAATTCCTGGATAGTTGATTGGGCTCAGACTCTCATCATATTCATCAACTGGGATTTCATGTCTAGTCATCATCAGAGATCCAGAATTTCATAAATCATCAATTTTCAATTTTTTTCAGGATTTGGGTCAGCAAATTTGGGTTGAGAGCTTTTGAGGGATTCAAAGCTCAACTAATCTTTAATTTTCATTTTCTTTGGTTAATTAGAGTAGCATTCAAGTTTGTAGTTTCTTCTATTCTTCATTTTTTAGCAGCATATTCCTCCAAAAGTAAGGCAAACTGATCAACTTTGTCTGAGGGGCTTCACCCACATACTGGATTTGTCATAGGGTTTGTGAGATGGGATATCCTCAATCACAGGTTGCATGTACATTCTGGGATGAGGTGGGATGGATGGAAAAATGGAAGGGGCAAATTGGCAGGCCTTGAGGTAGGTGGTATGACACAGGTTTATTGCTCTCCTCATCAAGGGCAACGTCCACCTGGATAAACTATCTGTCACTGAACACAAGGGGTGAAACATTTACAGAAGTGTGCTAAGGTTGGGCACATTTAAAGCAGCAAAGGTTGTTGTAGGGCTATAGCCCCTGACCTAACATGGTCAATTGCTGAACTTGTTCAGTGAGGGCGTGAATCTTTTGGTTAAGTTCTGAGGGTGGTTTGATATCTAGGTTTTTTAGATTATACTTATTGTCAAAGGCGTCCAACTCTTTAGCATCTGAATTTGCAACAGCAGAATTGTAGGTTGATTTTGGTGGTAGGTTACCATTATCATGTAATTTTGCAAATGGTAATGGCTTGATCTACACAAGTTGGTTGCGCTAAGCATATGGCATCAATATAAGGGTTTTGAGGGTGTCAAGGAACCAGTCAAAGAGCTGCTGATTGATTCCCTTGCAGTTTTGTTAGGTAATCTGTCCCCATAGTATCATAGTTTCTTCAAATTTGTTGGGAAGTTTGCTGATAATTGAAAAATTCTGGAGGTGAAACCAAAGACCTTTTTTGCAGAGTTGATAGGCCAAAATTCAAAATTTGTCTCAGGTATAAGCTTGCTATTAGTTCCAGTAGTTGAAAGGTAGGGTGGCGCTATGTCATTTTTATAGTTCCTGTGAGCAGGCTGGTCACTTATTGCAAACACTTTGCTGGGAGATGACCCATAGTCATCTCCCCAAGCGTTAGAGTTATCCTACCATTCATCAATGGGTCCATGGTAAAATTCATCAAGATTTTGTTTTGCGCTTGTAAGCATAAAATAAATGGCGGTAACTTGTTTGATCAGTATATTGGTTATAGGTTCTGAGGTGTCATCTCTGACAGGAAGATCACTTTGTCACAATAGCTTAGGATTCCCAAGTTGATCATAACCTATGGTTTGGGCAACACCTTTAGTTTTGGCATGATCAGTCATTTCAGTGGCTGGGTGTTGGTGAGTGCAAGAGGGCATTCTGCCTGAAATATTGAAACCAGCATATTGGGGGTAAAGTCTAAAATAAAAATACATGTAAAATATAAAGGAGGAAATTTTGATAAGTTATTGAGAATTGTGAGCAGGATTATATACCTGATATTGAAAATTTGCAAAGATTAAAGGGTTTGAAGAGTTTCAAAGGGGAAAAAGATGAAAATGAATAAATGGTGACAGGGATAAGATAAGGAGGGAATATCCATTGATGGATTGGTGATCTCAGTTGTAATTTGACACTGGTTAGAAAAACCATTTAAACTGTCAAATCACCAATCACTTATTATTTACTAAAATTTAATTTGTTGGTTAGTCAAATAACCATCAACCTCTTGGCAAAACCATTTAACTATTAAATCAACCAAATATTAAACTGCGTAGATATAACAATATACCAATTTCCATTTACACATATAAAATTTCATTCTTATGTATAAAAATTTTTATGTTATCAATATTAAAATTCTGACTTTAATATGTCATGGACCCCCAATTATCCACTTATAACCAAACTTTCAAAATGCTATATACCATAGTTTTGACTTGACACCACACACACAAAACTTGCTAATAATATTATAGATTATAGACTAGTGGAGGTACCCAAAGTTGCTTGGGTTTATTTATAGCTTGACAGTTTGAACTGATTAATTTAGGTTTTATTATATATATCACACAAACCGCTTACTCATTACCATTGAACATAGCAACCTAATTAATCACCAATCACTTACCTAATTCAGTTGAGTCTTTCAAATCAATTAAAAAAATAACAAACACTTGTCCAAAACTAATTAAATCTATTAAATTACTAATATTATCAAGCCACTTCTGGCAACGGCAAAAGTACCTGTAAGTCTGGAAGAGCATCTTCTCCGCTTGGACCAGATGTCATTCTCTTTCCCATCTAAAAAAGGTTCAAGAAGGCTAGGTGCCCCACTTGTCTCCTAGGGCAACCTCACCCATGTGGTGGATGAGCAGTGGGTCATGGGTTACCCTTGAGAATCCCGCCACCTAGCCTTTATTAGCTTTTAAAGAATTGGTATGGCAAATTAAGGGAAT